CGCCTCCCCCTGTATTGTGTTTGTACTGCGAATGTATCAATACTGTCCAGGCTCCAGAGGACTATAAAGAGGATGACTTCAGGCTGCGGCCTCAGGCTTGAAGCTTCCTTCTCCCTGTTCATCAATGTCAGTCAGGCTGAATCAACATTCAAGCTGCCGCTGACAAGGCCGTCTGGCGAAATGGCATCGCGTCTGACTACGACAGAGTCCGTATATCAGGAGATTGTAGGTTCGACCCCTACGTCGGTCATTTTGGTTTGTGCTGCAAACGTTTTGAGAAACCATCCATGCCAAAATCAGAGCTCCAATTACTGCTCATCAGTACGCAGGTGTACGCATGGCAAAGAGTGCCTGATGACGTTTCCAATAGTGCATTTGCGGAGGCGGCGCGCTCCGAGTCGCTGCAGGGTCATGATCAGTGGATCGCCACGGAGATCGGGGCCCAGCGATCTCGGATGCGTGGCAATTGCTTGTTGATCTCAAGGCTAAGTACGCTGCTCTACGCTAACTGTATGCTACTCCATTCTACTCGGAGCCCTATCCGACCACTGCATATCGCTGCATACAACTTTGCAGGTGGGGAGTATCATACACAGCCATAGTCACTGAGACCTCGGTATTCAGTGACGCGCAATCTCACCAACAATAGCGACATTGACATATATAGGTCCGCTACTACTAGTAGATCCCGACTTTCACGGAATACGTTATTGATAGTTGTGCGAAAGGTGGGTTACGCAAGATTGTTGGCACGAGGACCACGGAGGCACGCGTGGAAGCTCGGCTGACAATGTGACTTATGTATAAGTTCCTGTGACTGATTGGTGCCCTTGCGGTCCAGATGGTCAAACTCCGCTCTTCGTCTCTTAAGTCACAAGGCACCATCTTACTCGCACGTTCCCTCACCAACTTCACTCTTCTGAGACTCTCTGTACCGACGCTAACGTGCGGGCATGGGCAGTCTACTCAGCGCTCTGAGGATAGTACTGCTCCTAGGCACGAGCTATGTACTGCTCAAAGTTCTGACAAGATACTTCGGCCGTTCACCTCTTGACAATATCCCCGGACCTCCATCTGGTCATTGGTTGGATGGTAAGCATTATGTGGCGCTTGTGTTGATTCAATCTGAAATGTCGAACGAGAACAGGACACTTCAAACAGTTCTTCTCTCGTACCGGATGGGACTTCTATTCTTATCTGAGCCACAACTACGGCCCTGTTGTCAAGTTCCGTGGCCTGCTAGGAGTATGGAAAACCTGCCACGTCTACACCGTATTCAAGCTGACCGAATGACCCACAGTCTAGGTGTCTCTACGTGTATGACCCTCTAGCTCTAGCGAGCATTGTAGTCAAGGATCAGTACATCTATGAAGAGACACTAACTTTCTTGAAGTGAGTACACACACAAGCTTCGCGAGAATACGGGTCTCACGACAACCACTTGTCCAGCCAAACCCACCTGCTGCTGGGCGACGGCCTGCTCGCGACAGTCGGTGAGCGTCACCGCAAGCAGCGCCGGCTCCTCAACCCCGTCTTCTCCATCGCGCACATGCGGCATATGATCCCGATCTTCTACAACATCACGCACAAACTCCAGGATGCTATCGCCATGCGAGTCAAGAATGGCCAGAGCGAGATTGACATCCTCGACTGGATGGGTCGTACGGCGCTCGAGCTTGTCGGCCAGGCCGGGCTTGGCTGGTCGTTCGACCCGCTTGTCGAGGACACCGTAGGCGGCAACCTTGGTACCGCGGTGAAGTCTATCGTGTGCGTGGGCATCAATGATTCCCCTACGGGTTCTAGCTGACACGAGGCGTCTGCGACTTAGCCCCAACTCTCCTAACCTGCGACTGTTCCGCCCCTTCATGCCCTTTGTCCACAAACTCGGTCCTCCCGCGTTCCGCCGCAAGATGATCGACTTCATTCCGAGCCCCGGGCTCAAGCGCGCCAGGGATATCTCCGACGAGATCCAATTTCATTCGCGACATATCTACGAGGCAAAGAAGCGGGCGATGCGCGAGGGCGACGCGGCGGTAACGCAGCAGATCGGTGAAGGCAAGGATATAATGAGCAAGCTGAGTACGTGTGGAGGGCTGAGCCAGATGAGATTTGGAGCTGATAGGCCACCTGTTTCAGTGCAGGCGAACATGAGCGCGAACGAAGAAGACAAGCTACCGGAGGATGAGCTCCTTGGTCAGATGTCGTACGTCTCACATCCACAAATCAAATCTGCCAACTGATGCCAGCTTCGTATAGAACCTTTATCTTCGCTGGGATGGACACAACGTCGAACGCGCTCGCACGCACTCTTGACTTGCTCGCAAGACACCAGGACGTCCAGGACAAGCTTCGCGCAGAAATCCTCGAAGCGATACAGGAGCATGGCCCGGAGCTCCCGTACGACGTCCTCACAGAACTGCCCTACTTGGATGCAGTCTGCCGCGAGACTCTCCGCCTGTATGCCACGAGCCTTCCGGTTCCTTATCTTCACTGACGTCTTCTATTCGCAGCCATGCGCCTGTCCCTCATCTGCTTCGCAAAGTTCGGGAAGATATTGTGATGCCCCTCTCTAAGCCAATTCGTGGACTGGATGGCACGCTCATCAGCGAGATCCCCGTCCCGGAGGGCACGTTGATCCTCATCGGCATTCTGGCGTCGAATCGCAATCCCGATCTGTGGGGACCCGATGCAGAGGAGTGGAAGCCCGAGCGTTGGCTGAACCCGTTGCCCGAGGCCGTCAAGGAATCCCATATTCCAGGGGTCTACTCGCATCTGTGAGTCGACGTCTTGTGCGCTCGAATGCACGCACACTGAACGCTGAACACGCCAATTCATTTGTAGGATGACGTTCTTGGGTGGCGGGCGCGCGTGCATAGGGTTCAAATTCTCGCAGCTCGAGATGAGTACGTGTTGCTGCACATTTTCGGAGATGTGTGTCACCGAGCTGATTCATACTACGCTTTCCGCAGAGGTCGTGCTTGTGATACTCCTTGCGAAATTTACATTTGCACCGTCCGACCAAGGCGTCTTCTGGAACCTCGCTGGTATTCAGTATCCAACCGTAAGCAAGGACTCGGTGCAACCGCAGCTGCCGATGAAGGTCGGGTTTGTGAAGTCTTCTTAAGCCGCCTCGATTGGCAAGTTCGAAGTACTATCGGCTAGTACCGTCGCCATGTAGCGGTTCATGTCTATCATGCTATCAGCCCGTTCCCAAACATTATTTTGAACCTGTTGATACCACCTCATGCCTACATCCATTGTGTCGTGGTGAGTCTGAGTGAACAAGAACTATTGATATCTGCGCCGTCGTTGTCAGGCGCGTGCCAGACTTCCAGTTGTCCCAGGTCACGGGGACGTGCATACTAGCGCTAAATCTGCGATACAAATCGCGCACCCGTAGCTCGACCTCGGCTCGACCCACCACGTCGACGACAGACATATTCTAGGATTCCATCCTTTGTGCCATGCAACTCGCAAAGTCGTGCTCAAGTATTTTGGTCGCGTTTTAATGCGGCTCGCGTCGCGAAACACGGGTCTCCGCTCATGGCAACCATTTCCTGATCAGCCGCACTTCGGTCTCGCCGAAGGGCCCCGGAACGAGAAACGAAAACTCAATCATCAAGCACGTAGCTCATACATCGTGAATACATCGTGCCAATCCTTGCATCCCTAGGCCCCTCAGCTCTCGCCTTCTTATCGCGTGCTGTTTGCGCTGGAGTCTTCAGGCATCCTACCGATAATTAGATCGCGGACACCAGGAGCAACGCATACGACGCACCGAGACCATGGAGTCGTCTTGGGGTGGCCCAATTTCTCAGGCATTAAATGTACGCGGTCGCCTGCGGTCGCTCCATTATTCCCTTGCCATCGCGCTCAAGCGTGTCATCTACTATCGCAGGAGATCCTTCGTCGTCGTCTTCATGCACAACGTGTACCCACACGTTGAACGAGTCCTCGGTGACCGACGATTCGCTCGTCGTCGAGGAATAGCCACTCCCTTGTCGCTCATGGTGGGCCGCTGGCCTCCACCTGATCTCGTCTTCGAGTAGGATATATGCGACGTCCTGCTTGGACACCCTCCTTCCCAAATCCGATTTCTGGATCACTGTGGCGATTGATGTTGGCCACCACCGCGTGATCGGCTCGCCTATGACGCCAGGGTCGATGTCCGGACCCTCTGCCCACATCCCGGTACCGAAGCCCTGTCAACAGGAGTTGAGTGGTGTATGAGTAAAGAGGAGGATCATGCATCGACGTACGAGACGGGCAACTGTATCGTTGTCGCCCGAGTCCAGCTCCTCCAACTCCCGAGCCTCCTTCTCGAAACACCACTCCTCGACCGGTTCCCGCCACCAGGCCCAGCTGGGAGGACCTTCATCGACGAGGTCGAGCGCGCCCTTGATACCCGGGTGTTGGACAACCTCGTGGAGCTAAGCAATACGATAGGTGAGCACTGGGGAGGGAACAAACGTGGGTATGCGTCACTGACCTTGGGAAACTGCTTGTTGTTTGTTTCGTTCTTGGTGCTCCAGACATTGGAGCGTTTGGGGAGCAAGGGCGCCGGGCTGCACTTGATAGCGCCAATAGGGGCCACTCCTCGCACCCCGGTCTTGTCTGTGCGGAATCTAGTCATCTGAAGCGAGATACCCTCGTGGTATATCAACAAAGCGACGCGACACTACTCACGAGCCACTTAATGTAAGGCCACAAGCAAAATCGATCCGCAACGCACCACGTACAACCACGGTAGTTCTGTCTGAGCGGTCCC